ATCCTTGATCATGCAATATAGTATTTACCTCTGACTGCATACCCATCCTTTACTGATGCAGGGAATGGCGGTAAATTGTCTTTTGCATACACCTCTTGGGCAAGAACACGTCCCATTCCATCTAAGAGATAAAAACATATGTTAACTGCATAGCTATGAAATTTAAGGAATATGCTAATCTAATAAGCTCCAAACTGAAGGAGCCTCCTGTTTTACAGTCTCATAATTTTTTAATATTCCTAGATACTAATTGAACAGGGCAGGCTGACAAGCTAGCTAGAAAATGAAAATGAGTAGTGTAGTGATAAGTTCGGAATTTGTCCAAACATAAATTCAAGGCAAATTAACAGGATTCACATTTGCCTTAAACTGGTGAATTTTGTCCAAATTCCAAGCAGTGAATTTTGGTGCATATCAGAATTAGTTATGGGCTCGATATTCGAGTTGACCAACAGTTCAACTCGAACATCGCTAGTTCGTTTGTTCGATGAACACACGAACTATCAGGGCATTCCATGTGATGCCCTGATTGGGTAAAGCAATGCACCCGACCAGCACTGGCGACCAGTACTGGCGACCAGTTTTGGTCGCCAGTACTGAGAAGGGATGTCCTTGAACTGGAGAGAGTCCAGCGGAGGGCAACAAAACTAATTAGGGGAATGGGGGACCAGAGCTATGAGACAAGGCTTCTGACAAAACAAAATTAACAAAATTAACTTAAACATGTTTACGCTGGAATTAAGGAGATTAAGGGGGGGGGTATGATTTTCATGTACAAGATGTTCAATGGTGACAGCCAGTACTGAGAAGGGATGTCCTTGAACTGGAGAGAGTCCAGCGGAGGGCAACAAAACTAATTAGGGGAATGGGGGACCAGAGCTATGAGACAAGGCTTCTGACAAAACAAAATTAACAAAATTAACTTAAACATGTTTACGCTGGAATTAAGGAGATTAAGGGGGGGGGTATGATTTTCATGTACAAGATGTTCAATGGTGACAGCAACATTGGCAACAAACTGTTTGAGATTAACTGCATTACAAAGACTAGAGGCCACCACCTAAAGTTGGTGGAGAAAAAATTCCAGCACAATGGGCGGAGAGGGTTCTTTACAGTAAGAGCGGTTAAGGTCTGGAACTCACTGCCATCGGCAGTGATTTCAGCCAAGAGTGTAGATTTGTTCAAGAAAAGCTTGCCTGCGAAATTGCAAAAAAACGACCATAGCAAAAATTGGCCATAGGCGACGCTTTAAAAGCTTTTATTGCTCATCAGTTTAGTGTTAAGTGATTGATGGCCCTCAAATTATTGTTCATGCTCCGACGTTCACGGCGATATGTAACAGGTGTGGCACAATGGCACAATACACCACAAAATGCTGATGTCATGAAGTGAAATTTTAGTAAAGTCTCAACGTGCAATTGGAAAAAAGGCCACAAGATGGCGTATGGATAGGAAGTAGATGGAATTGTGTAGAAAACCATAATTTAGCTTAAGGCCTCATTCACACGACTAACAGCCGACCCATGTTATATTAATACAGCATGATCAAAGATGAATTAATCTTTACTTGATATATTCACTATTCAGCAATGGAAAAAAACTTTATTTTATTTATTCATGATGTATTCACTCAGCTATGAATCCCTGGCTGGAACCCATAGTTTTGCACCTGAAAGTTGCAATATTACAGGCAAAACCTCTGCTTTTGCTCCAATTATCATAACTCCACCAAGCTTTTCCAAAAGTAAAAATAATCTTAAACTTACATTTAGGCCTCATTCACATGACTAACAGCTTGTCTCTTTTTGCAGTTTGTCTTCATTTTCATTCATTTTCCTTTGTTCCTTCCTCCTCCTTTCTGGAAAGTGGCTGCTTTGGTGATTTTTCTAGAGTTTTCTTCTTGACTTGATCATCCTCAGTTATTCCACGATCTGGTGAAGTAGGTAGTGGCTTTAGCCTTGGCCTTCCACTTGGTTTATGTACTTTTGGTTCTGTGGAAGCTGGTCTGCCCGTGTTGGGACTCGGCTTTAGTTGAACCATCGCTGCAGCACTTGCATTATAAAGTTGGTGGAGAAAAAATTCCAGCACAATGGGCGGAGAGGGTTCTTTACAGTAAGAGCGGTTAAGGTCTGGAACTCACTGCCATCGGCAGTGATTTCAGCCAAGAGTGTAGATTTGTTCAAGAAACGTTTGGACAATTTCTTGAGGGACCGTAATATCCAGGGATACCAGTATCCCTAAGAATGAGATGGTGCGTGGACCTATATGGGTTGGACTTGATGGACGTATGTCTTTATTCAACCCCAAATACTATATATGGTGCTCTATCTAATTTTCCTATTAATTATTCGAAATCGGAAATTTTGCCATTGAATTTATCTTCAGAGGTTTTTTTCTAATCTGCGCACTTCATATACTTTAGCATGGGCATCGAGCCATTTTCGTTATCTGGGAATTCATCTTCCAAACTCCCTAAGATGAGCGTTTACTTACCATTATTGAAGGCAATTACTGAAGATCTTCCTGCCTGGGAAAAAACTCTATTTACCTGGCTAGGCCGTATAAATATCCTGAAAAGGAATGTATTACTGAGGATTTTATTCCTTGTAAAAAGTCAATTGCAATTAAATTACCACTTTCTTTTTTCAGCCAACTACGCAGTTTATTCCTGCGATTTGTGTGGAATAATAGAAGGCCTTGACTATCTAATAATATTTTGAGATGCTCTAAACGAATTGGAGGTCTAGGTGTACAAGATGTCTCTCTTTACTATAAGGCTATTGCATTGCAGAGGATCTTAGATTGGCATTATCATGTGAAGGATAAGCAGTGGGTTTTGTTAGAAAAACATATGGCTGGTAGAGATATAGCTCATGCCCATTGGTTTCTGCCTGTCTATAAGAGGTCTAGTCGCTTCAACGTCTCCTCTTATTATACATACTTTGAAGGTGTGGGATATAGTTAATAAAAACGAGAATTTAGACCCAAACACATTCCCCTTTGACGCCAATAGGGGGTTTTCTTCGTTTTTTATCAGGTGAACACCAATCATATTTTCAGACTTGGGCAGTAAATGGAGATGTCTGATTATGTAAATTTATGCCAGGGAATTCCCTTATTGCAGTACATGCACTGAGGGAAAAATTGGGTAATTTCCCTTTTGACTTTTGACACTATCTACAACATACCGTATATACTCGAGTATAAGCCGTCCCGAATATAAGCCGAGGTACCTAATTTTAGCCAAAAAAACTGGGAAAAAGTATTGACCCGAATATTCAGCAACATGTTGCATTAGTTAGACCCTCATTGACTTTTTATGAATAGTTTTGCAATTCTGAAGCACCCTCTAACCGCACTCTCTCCCTTTTGTATAAATGGTCACTCCAAATGAACTCGAAAAGCTCTTTGTATTTTCTCAGGGAGTGGGAGCAGGACATGGGTGTAACTTTTACAGACGCACAAGTGAATTAGATTGTTGAGCGTGTTCATACTTCCTCTATAGATTCCAGATTGCAAGAAACTAATTATAAGGTATTAACCCGATGGTACCAGGTTCCATACTCTTTAGGTAAAATTTACCAAAATATAGTTCACCCCTTTGCTGGATGAATTTAGGATTACCAGGTACAAATCTACATGTTTGGTGGGATTGTCCGAAGTTAAAGCCCTTTTGGCAGGATATAAGAGAACAAATTCAGTTTATCTTGGGTGAAACTTTACAGTTTACCCCTTCTACCTTTTTGTTTCATTTAGTGCCTTTCTCTATAGCTAAATAGAAATCTCTGGCTCATTTTCTTAATGCTGCAAAGAGGTTAACTCCAAGATTTTCGAGAAGTACTGTGGTTCCTTCTAGAGCAGACTGGATCCATCAGGTCAATGTAATTATGGATTCAGAAAAATGGATTGCAAGTTGTTAGGATAAATATAATAAGTTTGATAGTATATGGGCCAAGTGGATTCAGTATTGCACTCAGCATTCTTAGGGTGAAACAAAGGGATACTCAATTGGGAGGAATTTGGCAATGTATATTTTTTGTTTTTTACTATGTAAAACATTAAAAAATATTAAGTTAAAAAAAAGTAAAGGGATAGGGGAAAGCAGGAATGTTGGGTAGTGGTATGTTTTTTTTGTGCACACTTTTTTTCTCCTTTTACAAAGATGCATTGCAGTGCTGTGAAAATAACGGGAACCAACAAACCACCTACTGCCCCACTTTATACCCACCCACACTTGAAGGATTTGGTTACAATTTTTGGGGAATGACAGCTTCCTGTGGTTGTTCACTTTGCATTTTGGCCTGTTGGGGCTGCAAAGTCTGCCAGTCAAAGCAGGCCTAGTGCTGTTGATAAAAATGGATTTGGTGCTGCTAAACTACCAGGGTTTTTTGTTATGAATCAGATAAAAGTAGATTGGGGTGATGCTGCAGTCTGAAAACTCCTTAACACTGTGTACATAATTAACACTATGTACAATTAAGGCATCCACTCAACCTGTTAATTTAAGGTTTTAAGTATTTTTCAAGTCACCCTTGAATCTCAAAGTTAAAATTTCTGCTCTTCACTAAAAATAAGCTTTAGCCTTTTTTTAAGTAAATGGCAATAGGTATGCAAATGAGATCTCGCAATACAAGAAGAAATGGAACATGGAAAGATAAAAAAAGAATTACATTTACAGCTGCTTCTTAAAATAGCATAAAGTATTTGCTCCTAATAGTCCCTGCCATTACTCTGGATTCTACAACCTGTTTATGTTTGTTGGGAAAGGACAGTATATTGCACTAAAAAGACAACTTACCTCTGTAATTTATGATTTCAGTCCCAAGAACTGGAGTCATTTCCAGGACTGTAATAAAGGCTTTATCCATGGATGTTAGTGGAAATGGAGACATACGGTGTCTTCTTGCTACCTTGGTGATATCAACGGCACTATGACCTTTAAAATAAACATACTGAGAATGAACATTTGAAACACATAACAGTGTTTTAAAAAATAATAATATTAGAAATAACAATTACTCCACGTATGCTTGCTATTAGATGTTGCATTTGCAAAAAAAAACAAAACACCAAAGTTATGAAAAGATCAACCATATGAATAAAAACCCTTTTTACTGAGATTCTAGCTGCTGAACTGAAGTGCAAATCATGCCAGATATTAGTTGCCTATCAATGTACCATCAATTCTTGTTTCTCTATTTAAATGTCTGTGTACAGTTTGTTTTGGTGGGCAAATTATAATAAATAGCATAACACAGAAGTTATTTATACTGCTGTTGCCTTGTGAACCCAAAAGAAAAAGGAAATGGTCATCACCTCAATAGACTGCATTAGGTAGAAGACATATTTTAATCTTGTGACTGACAATGAGAATTAGCATATTGGCAGGTGTAAATAAGGAGTGCACAAGAGCACTGTTTTTTTCTTTCTTTTTGCTGTATAGCAGACATGGTCTTCTTCCCTTTGGTCTTGTTACTCTTTATTAGCTAACGGTAATGGTGCACACAGTAAACTACAACCCCAATTCCAAAAAATTTGGAAAACGCTGTGTGCATAAAAACAGAATGCAATGATTTGCAAATCTCTTAAACCCGTATTTTATTCACAAAAGAAAATGGTTAAACTGAGAAAATGTACCATTTTAAGAAAAAAATAAAGTCATTTTGAAATTGATGTGAGCAATGCATCTTAAAAAAGTTGGAACGGGGCCATGTTTTCCACAGTGTAGCATCCCTTATTCTTTTTTTTTTAAATAAATATATTTATTATTATTTTTACAATCCACCATAATACATACAACTACACTTCTCACATACAATTAACATTAAAACAAAAACATATCTTAACATTGATATAATCCCTTCCAACATCTATGCTTTGCCCGTATAGCCATAACCCAGACTACACCTATCTAGTGCCATTCCTCTCATTTCCTTCACATATTAGTGTCTATCTTTTTCCAGTTAGTTAGATAATAACTATTACCTTTGATTTATTTAGTGCAATTGTTAGTGCAATTGTTATTTTTACCATTTTAGTCTGTGAACTTTAAGGATCGGTTTACTACCTTCCATTAATTACTACTATGTGAGCCTTAGATCCTATATATCACTCATATTGTATCATGTGGAAAAATTTATATCTGTGAATACTCAAAATTTGGTAATATGTGTCTTTATATGGGATCCTATTAAATGTGCTTAAAATATCTACAATATTTGTTTTGTCTAATGATCTACCAATGAGTGAAAAATGAAATTATAATACTAAGCATTACCTCCTTTCTTTCCCACCCCAGTCATCAATTACTAGGTGAAAATTACATGACTGTTTTCTATGTGCTATACTTATATTACAATAATGTGTTATAATAATGTCAAAAACAGTAAAATAAGCAAACATATGTGTGTGAGCAAGAGCTTCCCCCATAAGGGTTTTAGTTCTGGGTTATGACCTAATAGATACGGCTTATTCCGAGTATAAAAGAGATAAAACAAAAAGAAATACAATACATTAACATTCTGTGACATCCTATTCCTCCCCCTCTTTTTGTCAAGATATCTGAGAGTATCCCGTAGTGTGATATAGAGAGGGACAGGCCCTATAAACGCTAGGGAAGTGAAGATAGCGTACCTACGTACTCTTCTGAATTCTTGTATGTAAGCCATCCCTGCCATATTTCACAGAATAATAAATGCTTGTTTTGGCTACTGAAATATAGTTCTTCCATTGAGCATATATAGTTTGTTTTTATTAGCCATTCCTTTATTGAGGGAGGTTCTGTGCTCTTCCAATGCGCTGGTATCAGGCATTTTGCTGAGTTCAGCAGGTGGGGTGTGATAGAGTTTTTATATCTTAACAGAGACCCTTCACTATTGTGGAATAATATCACCCAGGGATCCATTCTCAAGGGTCTTCCCTGTATAGAGGAGATGATCCTACCCACCTCGACCCAATATTTATTAATAACAGGGCACTGCCACCATATGTGTGCCATAGTTGCTCTCCCGCCGCCGCCTCTCCAACACATTGGTGAATAGGTAGGATCCATTGAGTGTAGTCTCACTGGCATAAGATACCACCTTGACAATAGTTTATAATTAATCTCCTCTATACAGGATGAGGTTGATGTTTTACATCCCCAGTGCAGAACCCTCTGTTTTCCTAGTTCTGGCAAGGGAGTTCACAATTCTTCCCATTGTTGCATAAACCCTGGTATTGATACACGGTCCATTTGAAACAGTATTTTAACCAACAATGATATGAATCTCTTTGGGCATGAATCTTGATCTTAATAATATCCCTTCCATAGGGTTTAATTCATCCATTGATCTAATTGCTTTCGCTAAAAATTGCAGAAAGTGGTTTAGTTGAAGATATCGTCACCTATCCATCATGGATGGTGATGAAGTACGACACAATGTCGGTAGCGGTTTTAATGTCTCTTGGTCCATTACGTGATGCAAACGTAACGTGCCTTCCTCTATCCATCTACCGAATGTTTTATCTGATTTACCTGGTGGAAAATAGTCATGTCCTAATAAAGGCATTAAAGGTGAATTATAACTCCATCCTGCTTTTCTTATGCAGTAAGTCCCACACTGTTAGGGTATTCCCCACTAGATGGTACCACTCCTTTGATGTACCTCTAAACTGTTTTGGTATCCAGCAGATTGTGCTTAGGTTTGTCTCACATATTTTAAACTCAACATCTACCCAAATTGTAGTTGTTCTATCAAAGTGCCAATTCAGTAATCTGGTCAATATCACTGCCTGATAATAACGTTTAAAATCTGGTAGAGCCAACCCACCTTGCGATTTTGGTCTTGCTAAGGTGTCATATGAAATTCTCGCGTTTTTTCTTCCCCATACATATCTAGATACCATTGTTTTTAAAGTTCTAAAGAAACTATTTTGAAGGGCGATGGGGACCATCTGATATACATATATACACTTCGGTAGAATATTCATTTTTATTACGTTTACTCTACCGATCCATGAGTAACGTAGAGCAGTCCATTTTTGCAAATCCTTCCTGGTCTCATTTAAAAGAGGGATGTAATTATATTTAAATAGATCCTGATGATGAGGGGTTAAGTTAATTCCTAAATATTTCAGTCTCTCAGACTGCCACCTAAATGGGAAGCTTAAGCGTAAGGACATCGTCTCTCTAGATGGCAGGTTAATATTTAATATTTCCGATTTATCAAAGTTTATCTTAAAATTAGATAACTCCCCATACTCCCGAAAGGCTGCTATTAAGTTTGGGATGGATATTCTAGGCTGTTGTATATAGAACAATATATCATCTGCGTAAGCTGAATATTTATGTTCATTGTTTCCAATGACAACTCCGTGAATGTCAATGTTTTCTCTTATATTTGCTAAAAGGGGTTCCAGTGAGATCGCAAATAGAAGGGGAGAGAGTGGGCACCCTTGTGGTGTGCCGTTGCTTAGTGGGAATCCCTCGCTTAATATGCCATTGACTCTAACTTGCGCCCTAGGGTCTTTATATAGAGCGGAGATCCAGCTCATCTTTTTTTTCCCCAGTCCCAAATATTGTAATGTGGGCAGTAGAAAATCTCAGGCCACCCTATCAAACGCTTTTTCTGCGTCTGTTGATAATAGTAGTGTAGGCTGGGATTGTTGTTTTACAGAAGTCATTATTGCTAAGGTTCTCAATGAGTTATCTCTTATTTCTCTCTGCCTGGGATAAACCCAGTTTGATCATAAGAAATAACTTGTGATATAAATGGAGTGATTCTTCTTGCTAATACCTTTGCAAATAACTTAATATCCATGTTTAATAATGATATTGGTCTGTAACTCCCACAGCTCGTCGGATCTTTATCTGGTTTGGGGATTACTACTATGTGTGCCAGAGAGGTTTCTGATCTAAATTTCCCATCGTTCGTTAATGAGTTCACGTAGTTAGCCAGCCGGGGGAGTAATGTGTCTTTGAAAGTTACGTAGTAATCCACCGATAGTCCATCCGGGCCTGGTGCTTTCCCTTTGGCCATTTCAGATAGACAGCTCTCCAGTTCCCCAATTTCTATCTCCTTTTCCAATTTTTCTAAGGATTCAACTGGAAATGATGGTACTTTACTCCTTTTCAAATACTTGCTTATCGCCTCCTGTCTATGGTCCAATGTTTTTTGCGACAATTTTTCTGATACATTGTACAATATAGAATAAAAGTCTTTAAATTCCTTGGCGATATCTCTAGGGGTATAGGCCATATAATCTGTTGTTTTAATTTTAGGGATATATGACTGTATCTTTTTGTGATTTAATGTTCTAGATAGTACTTTTCCCGGTTTATTACCCCATCTATATTGTATACCCACCAGCCAGTGGAATTTCTGTGCTGTTTTGACATTTAATACATTTTTTAATTCTTCTCTCTTATTCGTTAATTGTATTAGGTGATCTGAAAATAACGATTTTTTATGAACAGTTTCCAGTTCTCTGATTTGGGTTAAAAGGACTTCCATATTCTTTTCACTCTCTTTTTTCTTCCTAGACCCTAATTCAATCAGTTTCCCTCTCATAACGGCCTTATGAGTTTCCCATAGGATGGCAGGTGAGGTGGAGAGTCATTGAGTGCAAAAAATTCACTGAGGTCTTCGTTCAGTTTCTGCACATCTAATGGTCTCCACAGTAATGATTCATTCAATCTCCAGACCCACTCTCTCGCCATCTCCTGTGGAAAAACTATAAAACCCCCCAAAAAAGTGGGGGGGAAAGAAAGGTGGCTAATATTCAAAGGTGGGGCTGTGGGTGTTGCCGAACACCGCTCCAGATTAATCTTCTGCTTTATTAGTGGAGTAATTTGTTGAGTCTAATTAAGGCAACAATAGCATGGTCTCTCCAGTTTAATGTCATAATTACTCTTCTTTCAGAGAGGGGAGAGTACAGGAAATGCATCTTTGTATG